TGTATGAAACACTGTTTTTTTATTATTTCAAAATATTATGGGGGTACAAATGTTTTTGGTTACATATATCACTTTTGAGTCAGGGTTATAAGTGTGCCCACCACCCAGATAGTGTTCATTGTACCCTTTAGGTAGATTTGTGCCCATCCCCTTCTCCTCCCTGTCCCCTGCTTGATTTCCACTGGGTTTTACTTTCCTGCGTGCACATGTGTGCTCATTGGTTAGTTCAAATTTAATAGCGAGTACACGTGGTGTTTGTTTTTCCATTCCTTAGATACTTCACTGAGGATAATGGTCTCCTGTGCCATCCAAATTGTTGCAAAAGGCCTTAATTCATCCTTCTTCATGGCTGAGTAGTATTCCATAGTATACATATACCACATTTTGTTAATCCACTCATGAATTGATGGGCACTTGGGTCGATTCTACATCTTTGCAATTGTGAACTGGGCTGCAGTAAACATTTAAGTGCAGGTGTCTTTTTAATAAAATGACTTCTTTTCCTTTGGTTATATACCCAGTAGTGGAATTTCTGGATCAAATGGTAGGTCTGCTTTTAGTTCTTTGAGGAATCTCCACACTGTTTCACAGAGTTTGTACTAATTTGCAGTCCCACCAACAGTATGTAAGCGTTCCTTTCTCTCTGCATCCACACCAACATCTATTGTTTTTTGACTTTTTAATAAGAGCCATTCCAACTGGGGTAAGGTGATACCTTATTATGGTTTTAATTTGCATTTCCCTGAAATAAAGGGTATCTAAATTGGGAAAGAAGAGGTCAAACTATTGCTTTTTGCTGATGATATGATCTTATATCTAGAAAACCCCAAAGACTCCATTGAGAGACTCCTGGAATTGAAAAGTCTCAGGTTACAAAATCAGTGCATACAAATCAGTAGCATTCCTATACACCAATAACAGTCAAGCTGAGAGTTAAATCAAAGACTCAATACCATTCACAACTGCTACAAAGAAAATAAAATACCTAGGAATATACTTCACCAAAGATGTGAAAGATCTCTATAAAGAAAACTACAAAACACTGAGGAAAGAAATTGCACATGATGAAAACAAGTGGAAAACTATATCATGCTCATGGATTGGTAGAATCAACATTTTTAAAATGTCTATACTACCCAAAGTAATTTACAGATTCAATGCAATCCCCATCAACATACCAACGTCATATTTCACAGATCTAGAAAAAATAATTCTATACTTCATTTGGAACCAGAAAGGAGCCGAAATAGCCAATGCAATCTTAAGCAAAAAGAACAGATTGGGAGGCATCAATTTACTAGACTTCAAACTATACTACAAGGCTATTGTAACCAAAACAGCATGGTACTGACATAACAACAGAGACATAGAACAATGAAACAAACAGAGAACCCAGATATAAAACCATCCACATACAGCCATCTGATCTTTGACAAAGCAGACAACAACATACACTGGGGAAAAGAATCCCTATTTAATAAATGGTGCTGGGAGAATTGGATAGCCACATGCAGAAGAATGAAACAGGATCCATATCTTTCACCACTCATTAATTCAAGATGGATAAAAAAAGACTTAAATGTAAGGCATGAAACTCTAAGAGTGCTAGAAGAAAATGTTGGAAAAACTCTTCTAGATATTGGCCTAGGCAAAGAATTTATGAAAAAGACCCCAATGGCAATCATAGCAACAACAAAAATAAATGGAACTAAGGAGATAATCAACAGAGCAAACAGACAACCTACAGAATGGGAGAAAATATTTGCAAGCTATACATCCAATAAAGGGCTAATAACCAGAGTCTACAAAGAACTCCAGCAAATCAGCAAGAAAAAAAAGCATTAAAAAGTGGATGAAAGACATAAACAGAACCTTTTTTGTTTTTTTTTTTTGAGACAGAGTCTCACTCTTTTGCCCGGGCTAGAGTGCCGTGACCTCATCCTAGCTCACAGCAACCTCAAACTCCTGGGCTCAAGTGATCCTCCTCCCTCAGCCTCCTGAGTAGCTGGGACTACAGGCATATGCTATCATGCCTGACTAATATTTTCTATATATTTTTAGTTGTCCAGATAATTTCTTTCTATTTTTAGCAGAGACGGGGGTCTCACTCTTGCTCAGGCTGGTCTCGAACTCCTGACCTTGAGCGATCCACCCGCCTCGGCCTCCCAGAGTGCTAGTATTACAGGCATGAGCTACCGCGCCTGGCCATGAACAGAAGCTTTTCAAAAGAAGTTAGAAAAATAGCCAATAAACATATGAAAAAATGCTCAACTTCACAAATCATCAGGGGAATGTAAATTGAAATAATGTTTTTCTGACATTGGACAACAGGCAGCACAGGACTGAAATCACTGAGAGACATGAAACTAGGTGATTGCACCAACTTACTGTCTGCAGGCAGTTTCTAGCAGCAGCTCAGGGAGGGAAAAACCAAACAGAACTGGCTGTCTCACCAAACGAGAGGCAGAGATTGATTTTGGGGTGGCCAGGATGGCTAGAATTTGCAGGGCGAAACACTGGACAGGAGGAATCTGCAGAGAAAGGAAGCATCAAAGAACAGCAGAAACTGATAGACAAGTCCACAATTATAGTAAAAGTGTCAATAGTCTCTTTCAATAATTGACAGAACAAATAGACAAAATTAGCAAGTATTAATATATAAGATTTTAACAACACTATCAATACCTAATTCACAGTTGTAGAATGTGCCACCCCAAAACAACAGAATATACATTCTTTTCAAGAGCACAGAAAACGTTTTCTAAGACATTAGGGCAATAAAACAATTTTCAATGGCATTTCATGTCTATATTAGAGAAGAAGTCTCAAAAGAATGACCTAAACTTCTTCCTTAATGAGCGAGGAAAAGAAGAGCAAATTCAGCCCAAAGTAAGCATAAGAGAGAAATAATCATCAAAACAGATATCAACGAAACATAAAACAGAGCAGCAATAGAAAAAAAATCAATGAAACCAAAAGATGGTTCTTTGAAAAGATCAATAGAACTGATAAATCTCTTACCAGAGATATCAGAAAAAAATAAAAGGCATGAATTACCACAGTCAAGAATGAAAGAGGGAACATCACTACAGACCTTGCAAACATTAAAAAACAAGAAGTGAATATTACAAACACCTTTACAAAAACACATTTGATAAAGTAGATGAAACGGACAGATTTCTTGAAATTTGATAAAATTTCCAGATAAAAACTATCAAACATCATCAAGAAGAAATAAATGTCTCACAGCATGGTGAACACAGTTAATAATAGTGTATCATACATTTGAAAATTGCTAAGAGAGTGAATTT